TTTTGTTGTGCAGAAGCTTTTTAATTTTATGTAGTCCCATTTGTCCATTCTTTCTCTTAGTTGCTGAGCTGCTGGGGTTCTATTGAGGAAGTCCTTACGCATACCTATGGTTTACAGAGTATTCCCTGCTCTTTTCTGTACTACCTTCAGAGTTTTGGGCCTGATATTAAGGTCCTTGATCCATTTTGAGTTGATATTAGTACAGGGTGATAAACGTGGATCTACTTTCAGTTTTTTGCAGGCAGATAACCACTTTTCCCAGCAACATCTGTTGAAGAGGCTGTCTTTTCTCCATCGTATGTCTTTGGCACCTTTGTCAAAAATAAAGTGGGCATAGTTGTGTGGATTCATATCCAGGTCCTCTGTTCTGTTTCCCTGGTCTTTATATCTGTTTTTGTGCCAGTACCATGCTGTTTTTATTGCTATTGCTTTGTAAGATAGTTTGAAGTTGGGTACTGTGATACTTCCAGCATTGCTCTATTTGCTGCATATTGCCTTGGCTATTCGCGGTCTCTTGTGTTTCTAATGAACTTTAATGTAGATTTTTCAGTCTCTGTGATGAACATCATTGGGATTTTGATGGGAATTGCATTAAACATGTAGGTTGATTTTGGTAGTATAGCCATTTTTACTATGTTCATTCTACCAATCCATGAGCATGGGAGATCTCTCCACCTTCTGTAGTCTTCCTCGATCTCTTTCTTCAGGGGTTTATAATTCTCCTTGCAGAGATGATTTACATCTTTTGTTAAGTTTACTCCTAGGTATTTGATTTTTTTGAGGCTATTGTAAATGGAATTGTTTCCATATATTCTTTCTCAGTTTTTTTGTTATTGGTGTATAGAAAAGCTAATGATTTTTGTAAGTTGATTTTGTATCCTGCCACCTCGCTGTAGCTGTTTATGATGTCTTGTCGTTTTGGGGTAGAGTTTTTTGGGTCTTTAAGATACAGGATCATGTCAACTGCAAATAGGGATATTTTGACAATTTCTTTACCTATTTGTATTCCTTTTATTTCTTCTTCTTGCCTAATTGCTCTGGCTAGGAATTCCAGGGCTATGTTGAATAGGAATAGGGATAATGGGCACCCTTGTCTCATTCCTGATTTTAGGGGAAATGGTTTCAGTTTTTCACCATTAAATAGGATATTGGCTGTAGATTTGTCATTTATAGCCTTTACAATGTTGAGGTACATTCCTTCTAGTCCTAGTTTTCTTACAGTTTTTATCATGAAGTGGTGTTGGATCTTATTAAACCCTTTTTCTGCATCTATTGAGAGGATCAAGTGGTTTTTGTCTTTGCTTCTATTAATGTGCTATATTACATTTATAGACTTGCATATGTTGAACAACCCCTGCATCCCTGGGATGAAGCTGACTTGGTCGTGGTGAATGATCTTTCTGATACGTTGTTGGATTCAGTTTGCCATTGTTTTATTGAGGATTTTTGCATTGATATATTCCTTAAGGACATTGGCTGATAGTTCTCCTTTTGGGAGGTGTCTTTGCCTGGTTTTGGGATGAATGTAATGCTGGCTTCATAAAATGAATTAGGCAGTGTTCTTTTCCTTTCTATTTCATGGAAAAGTTTAAGGAGTGTTGGTATTAGTTCTTTAAAGAAGAACTAATTCAGCTGAGAGTTCATCAGGTCCTGGACTTTTCTTTTTTGGGAGATTCTTTATTGCTGTTTCAATTTCATGTTGTGTTATAGATCTATTCAGGTGATTAATGTCCTCTTGGTTCAATTTTGGGTGGCCATAAGTATCTAGAAATCTGTCCATTTCTTCAAAATTTTCAAATTTATTGGAATATAGGTTCTCAAAGTAGTCTCTGATGATTCCCCAGATTTCCATGGTGTTTGTTATCATCTCCCCTTTTGCATTTCTCATTTTACTGATTTGGGTTTTTTCTCTCCACATTTTAATCAGGTTTGCCAGGGGTCTGTCAATCTTGTTTATCCTTTCAAAGAACCAGCTTTTTGTTTCTGTTTCATTGATTTTGGCCCTTATTTTTATTATTTCTATCCTTCTGCTTTTTTGGAGGTTTGCTTGTTCTTGTTTTTCTAGGAGTTTGAGATGTGACATTAGGTCATTGATTTGAGATCTTTCAGTCTTTTTAATATATGCACTCATGGCTATAAACTTTACTCTTAGGACTGCCTTTGCTGTGTCCCATAGGTTCTGGTAGATTATGTTTTCATTTTCATTGACTTCCAGGAACTTTTTAATTTCCTCTTTTATTTCATCAATGACCCACTGATCATTGAGCAATGTGTTGTTCAGCTTCCAATTGTTTGCATGTTTTTTACTGTTTTTTTGTTGTTGTCGATTTCTAGTTTTAATGCATTGTGATCAGATAGAATGACTGGGATTATTTCTGTTTTCTTATATTTGCTGAGGCTTGCTTTGTGCCCTAGGATATGGGCAATTTTGGAGAAGAGTCCATGGGCTGCTGAGAAGAATGTATATTGTGTGGAATTTGGATGAAATATTCTGTAGATATCAGCTAGGTCCATTTGATCTATGGTGTGATTTAGTTCTAGAATTTCTTTGTTGATTTATTGTTTGAATACCTATCAGTTGGTGATGGGGGTATTAGTCTCCCACTATCACTGTGTTGGAGTTTATATATGTTTTTTTTGTTTGGATGACCTATCTGTTGGTGATAGGGGTATATTAACATCTTCCACTACCATTGTGTTGGAGTTTATATATGTTTTTAGGTCCTTCAGGGTATGTTTGATGAAATTGGTGCCCTGACATTTGGTGCATATAGGTTGATAATTGTTATTTCCTTTTGGTGTATTTCCCCTTTTATTAGTATGGAGTGTCCTTCTTTATCTCTTTTGATCAATGTAACTTTGAAGTCTACTTTGTCTGAGATAAGTATTGCTACTTCTGCCTGTTTTCAGGGACCATTGGCTTGGTAAATCTTCTTCCAGCCTTTCACTGTAAGTTGTGCTTGTTTCTGTCAATGAGATTGGTCTCCTGTAAACAACAGATTGTTGGATCTTCCTTTTTAATCCAGTTTGCCAGACAGTATCTTTTGATGGGGGTGTTAGTTCATTAA